TTTACATTCGATTATCAACAAATCTCATGGAACGGTTGACTAGGTACCAATGTGTTATTAGACCAAAGGTTCATTTTGCGCCGGAGTTCTCCTTTAAATAGTAATTTTTTTATCAGTAATGTACATTAGAGTGTTTTGTAGTTAATGTTCATTGCATTATTTTAATGTCATACCATAATGGGGGTGTTTTGTCTTTGTTTGCAAGACCCTGTGCATCGACCAGTATTGGTCATGTTTTATGGACAGGCGACTTATGAACTCACTGTGTGACTTTCCATTTTATTACCTGTGTTATTCTGTTGGTTATCTGTAAATTTTAAGGTCAAGGTATATATGTTGGTAGTTTTAAGGTAAAAGTAGGCTTATTGATATTATATCCCTTTATGGTAGCAACATTGTCTCAATATTTTTCATAGTAAATTTCTGGCAACCACAGAAGCTGTTAATTTGTTTGTTTGTTTTTTTACAGTAAATTTAACAGGATATAAGTGTTCACATTTTTTTTTTTCCTCGATCGCAAGTGCATTTACATATTCTTTTTTGGATCAAATAGGTTTGAAGTTGCACATAGGCCTTGGGTCTTTCCTCTTTGCCACATTATTTTGAGGATTATCCCATGAATTTCTCAGATTTGTGCATCTAAAAGCTCAAGGTTAAACCTGAACTCACTGAGATACCGCATTCAGTCATTAACTTTAATCAACTGTTTTCCATATGTATTTGCAACAACAACAAATGGAAAACCAGACTTCTAATTATGGGCTTAATAACTGTCAGTTTATTAAATTTTTGGTTTCATGAGATATTTTTAAAATGTCGAGCACCCGTTAAATAGGATAATGATTTGTGTGTGTGTAAAATTCTCTTCAGATGCCGTCATCTTAGCTCATATACTCCCACTAAAAGAGGTAATATTCCATATTTACATTCATGGACGTGCACTCGGGAATGACACTCAAAGCCCAGAGCCTTAAACTCATCTTTTAATTTCACTTGAGACTCACTAAACTGTTTTTAAGCTGTTCTCGGACTTACTACAATGGATTTTCCATTCGCTTCTCACTTTAGAGAGAGAAAGGCACTGATTTGGGCCATGGCTGCCTGTGAAGCCAGCAACGCCTGGTTCTTTTGAAGATGACTCTCCATTTTGTCAAACTGCCTATTTCTTGTGGGTTTTTTCCCTAGAGTTTATTGGTGTGTGCATGTGTGTTTGTGCCCCCCGAGGCGAGCACACTCATACAGCTGACTGCTTGAACTACAGGTCAGTCCAGCCCAGCAAAATGTCAGTGGTGTCTTGTGATGCCCGTAGGCATTCATTATCAGATGCAGATATATCAGCCCATTCTCACCCCCAAGGCGTCACCTAACTGACGCCTTGGGAAGCTTTTGGACATGCTTCAATATCTGACGCTTTAGGCGCCCTTTAGCGTCAGTAAGATGACGCCCTAAGATCGCGTGTACCCTACCCCCACCCCACACCTAAACCTAACCGCGTCCTCTAACAGACGCTTTCCTTTAGCGTCAGTTAGATGACGCCGTAGGATCGCGTCATGTAAGTGACGCTAAAGGGCGCCTAAAACGTCAAATATTGAAGCATGGTCAAAGGTGACGCCTTGGGTGAGAATGCGTTGGATATATTATCAGATTACTCAAAGCACCCTCACTTTTGAAATGCTGCCGGTTTTCCTCATGGTGTGTGTGTGTGTGTGTGGTCCTGGTAAACATTAGGTTATGATATGGATAGTAATTATTGAGCTTATTATTATTATTGGGTCCTCATGAGGAAAACAGCTTGTAAATGATGTTTGTTGAAAATGTCAAAATGCAGAAGGTTTTCTGTAAGGGATGTGTTTAGGAGTAGGAGTAGGGTTAGGGCATAGAGTTTGTACAGTATAAAAATCATTATGTCTATAGAAAATCACTATAAAACATGGTGTGTTTGTGTGTTTGGAGAAGTGGGTCCATCCAACACCATATCATGACCAATTCGTACGAATTCGTATGATTTGTCTAAACCCCAGTGATCGGTAAGTTTAAGGGCGGGGTCAGGGGTAAGTCATTCATACGGATTCATACGAATAGCAAAATAAAGATTCGTATGAATTAGCCACCTCGTAAAATACGTACGAATTGCAGAGAGATTGGGTTGGCACCACAATTCTTATAACCCCAGAAAGAAAGCAAAATGTAACTTTGGTGTGCAAATGATATCCCTCTCTGCATTAAGAATGTGACTCTCCACATTACCCACATTGGGAAAGCTGAATTTGTCTCTCCTATCAAGTTTCTCCCTCCTCAGTGACTGCTCAGAGGGCGGTTTCCACTATGATGAGTGTGTACTAAGTGAATATTGAAAATCCGTAAGGCCTAGGCCTTAATCCACACACTATACAGGTCTGTGGTTATAAGGTATCATCTGGTTGGGAGACTTGCCTTTGGAGACCAGTCTTTCTCTTGGCAAAACACACAGGCAGTCATCAACACTGGATTTACGGGCGGCACACTTGTGGTTTAGTCGTGATTGCTTGAATTGGCGGCACATGCTGTCTGCTTCATCGAGCTCCTGAGATGGGTCTCTTTCATTGAAAATAATCACTTGGGACCTGCAAGACAGATGATAGAACAATACCGGAGAGGGAGGAAGAAAAAGCGAGGGAGAAAAAAGTGAAGTGAAATTATGAATCAACACCATATGGGTTGAGAAAGAATAGAAAAGAGATGGTGAAACTGTTGAGCTACGCAAACACATTAAAATGAACAATGTTTCAAGAGCGATAAAAATAATAGTTGTTACTTAGGGCAAACTTTGGCAAAGTCTCAAAGACTTTTCCAACAAACTGGACAGCCTACGGTGTGCACAGGAAGAGGAAAGAGTTATGGGGATTCCTAAAGGAAATGTTAAATCATATTTGTGTGCGTCCATAAAACATGTTATTAGTTTTATAGCACGTTGAGGTCAAAGTTTAAAACCAATAGTTAAACTTGGAAACACTCACTCCCTATCATAATTTCACATATCTCGAGGCTTTTGTTACAATGGTTGTGAGGCCCTCAAACACTTGCACTTCTGCAGTCATTTACTGGTTTCATCTGTAAAAGATTTCGGAAACTTTACAGTTTTCATAAAAACTCTAAGAGTAACTGGAGGTTACTTACTCAGATCATAAAAAAAGACGGGGGAAAGGAATGGAAAAATGGCTTTGGTGCATGAGGCTTCCTCCCTTGAATCGTTTGGCTGAAGGCTCAGTGCCAGATTGTGTGTAACCTGTTTTTTTTTAATCCCCAATCTCTTTTTCTCTGCCGTGACCTATCCATAGTACTCGTGTCGCTCTTTTGCACTGTCTTGCTTCTCACATTTTCTTTCTTTAAGCTCCTTTTCCTCTCAGTCCTCCTCCACTCTCTCTCACTGTCTTGTCAGACCAATAAAAATCAATAATACTTCTGAAAGATTGGAAAACTGTGGATTAAAGTCAGTTTGAGGTCAGGTGTGAGATTCCTGAGTTTGAGTCAGACTGCTTTTTAATATTCCTGAACAGTTCACACATCTCACAGCCAAGCAGCACAAAAGGCATCAAATGAGCCGTCAAGTGTGTTTAGAGATCATGAAATAATCAGGTGATAAAGTAGAATTCTAGCTTCAGAACAACAGGATTATAAAGAAAGGTGATGGGATGTTTGAAAAACAGTACGTTTTTGCACGTTTTCATACAATCTTGCACTCTTATGGGAGGAACGAACATGAATTCAGACTAATCAATGAATTTCCTGCTTTACAGCCATGGTCAGCATTTACTTTCATTCTTAGTAAAAGAGCAGTATGCATTCACATTCTGCTAGCTATGCCATGACAGAAAGACAGTACTGGAAATAAGAAGGTGAGAAACTGATGACAAAACTTGTGTAAAAGATTCTGGTATTTAGTACTTATTTAGTTACTTTCTATTGTTTAGAACAGAGGTTTTCAAACAAGGGTCAAGGGACCCCTTGGAGGTCGCTAAGGTGTCCGTGGAAAGGTCTAAAGAAACAGCGTAAATTTAAACAAAAAAGAAAATAAGATTCAACCAACTATTAATTAAATAAATCAAATAAATACAACATTAACTGAATCGAATCAACTAAAATGAATACATATCTAAACATTTTATACATCTAGTACAGCACAGTAATATATTTACAGTGCATATAATTATTAGGCAAGTTCATATTGTGACAGTATTTTTTTCCAAGCACATTTTACCAAATGAAAACCACAAAACCAATTACTAAGATTGAATATAATCAATAGCCATGCAAGTGTTGATGCGGGCTTAAAGTGAAAAACGCCTAATATTCACATGTGCAAAATTATTAGGCAAGTCAACTCATAAGAAGAATTTTTGAGAAGAAATGCTATAGAATTTAGAAGCCTTCCAAAAAAAAAAAAAAAAAAAAAAAAAAAAAAAAAATCTGTCTTCATGTATTTCACAACACTTCAGCTCCAAATTCTTATTAAGCACTGGAGACAATAGGCTTCATGATGATTTCACACCTAATTCACACTTTAATTGAGTAATTTTCTTTTTGCATCCTTCTCCTGGACATTTAATAATTGAAACTCCCTTTTGGAAAACATTGTAGCCTGTATGTGGCTATTCTGCACACTTTAATCATTTTCATGGTTTGATAGCAAGCTCCATAACTAAACAACTATCTTGTGAGCAAACATTATCAGACCCAGAGCCTGGGAAATCTCAAGCCTTCACGTCAAAATATCTAGCCAATTCCGCCGAAGAGGTTATTTACGAGCTTGTAAACAATGTTTCGGCACTGTAAAACATCCATCCGAGGCGCCTCGCACCAATCTCGCGATGACACGAGCCTCGCTCACTGAGCTGTATGATGAGAGTTTTCCACCTCTCGCGAGATCAGAAGAGTTTCCCACGCCTGTTGTTGTGGTGTCTGCCCTTTTCTTTCACTCACCCTGCCCCCCTTCCACTGTACTCGTCACCCGCCCCCTTTCTCTCTCTCCCTCGCTCCTTCAATCTCCAGTCTGCTTCTGTTGTCTCGGCGGCTGGTAGGGTCTGGGAGAGAGGATCTCGCGAGTCTTGGAGTTTTGGTGAGAGTTTGTGGAAGATGGCGCCTGTTGTGACAGGGTAAGTCTGAGATTCAGGACTGCTGCAGGAGTTTAGCTCTTCTTACACACTTTCTCTTAAATAAACGGGTTTAATGAAGGCATGGCGGTTTTCTTTTCCGTTATGGACGTTTACTGTCTCTCCACTGTGAATGATGGCGCTCAGCCTATTTATAAGAGCATGTAGAGTGTGTGTTTTTATATTTTGAGTGTAGTGCGCGTGTGTTGTGGGGTTGTTGCATTGAGCCCCGTCGCGGTGCGTCTGCAATGCATGGAGAGCCAGCCAGACCGTTTTGTACAGTGTTTCCAACCACACAATGCTCCGATATATAATTAGATTTTTTTTGTACATCTCGGTGTAAGGAAATCCCCATTAACGGAATGCCCCCAGTACACATGGTCACATTGCATGGTTATAGTAACGTACAGTGGCTTTGTTTCAGGCTTGGTTTCGTTTGGGATTGGAGTGGAAAACACCTCCCCTCTGATGTGTGCTTTTGTTGCTCTGTCGTTGGTCAGATGTGTTTTTATTGATTGTCTGCTGGGAAATGTGCTCGATTGTGAAGTGTTGTTTACTAAACAGAGCCGCTGGCTCTGCTGTCGCTCACTCGGTGCAGACGAATGATTATTTAATGGCAAGTGCAACTAAGGACATTGAAGCTCCCAGACTGGAAAAAGAAGCTTGGAAACGTTTAGTTCCCTTTTGCATGTCAGTGTTTCGCTTGTGCCACTTTGGGACATCGATGAACAATATGTGATGATAATGACCGACAGTATTTCTGTAGCGGGGACATGCAATCAACCCTTCACTAGATATATTATTAAATATAATACATATTTTAATTATAATAGAATTGCTTTTTTTGTTGCAGATATTAACTCTGCGTTGGCTTGTGAAATCAGCATTACAGACTTTCACAAACAAAAGTTGCTTCGTTTCGAGATGTAACTCATCACAAGCGTGTAGTTCAATTACTGATCATCATCGATGCACTTTATCGATAATGATTCACTAGTCTGATTCAGTTATCGATTCATAGACCGAGTTACACTGCCAACTTGAGATGTCTGAACGGTTCTTTAAAATAAACAACTTATTAGAGTCATTTGTTAGTGAATGGCAAAGTTTTTTTTCCCCTAATACTTCAAAATCTTTCTCCTATCCCACTTAATCAACTATAATTCAATAGAACAATAATAAAGATAATTTTAGCGTTCACACCAACGTTCGTTCATTATAATTGCTATGCACAAGCTTGGGTACATTCTGATTGGCTGTTAATGTTTTTACCTTCCATCACCTGAAACACTGTTTTCCTGTATAGATATAGCTGTGTTGTGGACTTCCCTGTTCCCCAATATCATTGTAGTTTCCTGGTTGGAACAGCCCTTACGCTATTCTGTTGATTTCCCTGAAAAGTGTAAATGTGTGATGCTTTCGTCCATCCTGAGACAGCAATATTGGTTCATTGGTGTGCATTTGACACAATTTGTTTGATCAACCAATCCCAGCGTTTGGGAAACCTGTTTGAAAACAGTCATTTTTTGCTATTCTTTTCCGTGACACTAGTAGGGGAGAAATAATGTTAAGTGAAATATTGCAGTGTCTATTTTCCATTCAATTATTATTGTCATTGCTGTTAATTGTTTTTTTTTATATTCACTTTATTATTGTTGTTGTTATTGTTATGCTGTAATCTTATGCTGCAATGTTGATGTAGAAATTTTTGAGGTATTTTTTAGTTGATACGTTCATTTTAAAAAGATAGCCTACTCACCACTTTTTACGTATGTCTAACATGTATGTATGTATGTATGTCTAACAACTACATTTTGTTAGACATACATACACATACACACATACATTAGACTGAGTCTCTGGTACCTTTCATCATCTTTGTAGACAGCCAAGTAGGTGACAGACATCCCCTGGTTGTTGTTTTTTTCCCTCGTCCTTTTTTGGCGAGAGAGCGAGGGGCGGAGGTGGTGGCAGACTGTTTGTTTGGGGGCTTTCCAGCGGTCTTGAACCGCCGCTGTTTTGACAACGACTGGTTGACTGGCCACCTGTCCAGCTGATGTCCACCAATGAAATTAGAGATGGCATGTGTGAGGGCATCATCATCGTGCCAGTGGCTGCAGCGATTCGAGTCTTATACAGTTCACTGCACACAGCCTTTTGTGTGGTGCTCCCTGTTTGACCTGATAAAGCTTGGCCTTCTCACGTGAGGCTGGTGCTAGCCTAATGGCCACGGGTCTGGTGTGCTAACAGTGAAGCACGAGTAATCCTTCTCAATCCTTGTTTACACCTGCTACCAACTTACGTATTAGTGTATTTAGTTTCGATATGAGAAATGCCACTCTATTGTGTAGATATTTCATCAGTCAGTGTATATATAGAGATTTTATGTTTGAACTTTCCACCATCTGTCACTAATGGATCTTAAAAATTGTTCACTCAAAATAATAAATAAATACATAAAAAGGGAAAATCAAGTTTAAAACATGTGCAATGTTTTATATGGTTTTGAAAAACTTTTCAAGAAAAAAATTAAATTGGCTGAATAAAATAGTTTAAAACTTATGTTAAAGGGGTGGTTTACTGCTTTTTTTCTTTGCATGATTGTGTTTATGGGGTGCAATTTAACATGTATTTGTGTTTTTTCTTTTTTTTAAAGTCTTATTTTTCATAAATTTCACCTTTATTGTAAGCTGCTTTCTCATCTGTCATTTGAACGAGCGGTTGACTTACTGATTCAATGAAACCACTCCCTCAGAAACAGGCAGTGGGCTCAGATTGGCTAGTTTGGGCCGGTGTGTTGTGATTGGCTAAACTGTAGTGCACGTTGTCCGGAAAATTCACTCCCATTACCTTTTACGGGCGAAATGTTACTGTCAAATGTAAATGATACTGCAGTATCAGTATGGGCCAGAATCAGACCCAGTAAGCGGCGATGAAGAGAGACAAGCAGAACCTCCCTAAACACGGCTCTTACAAAACGTTTCTGAATGGTAATGTGCCTATATTTTTTTACTTTATACACGTTTGTCTTACACAAAATAGCATCGAACTAACTGGCTACTATATACACAAACAGTGTTGGCATTGGTTTACGTTCTTGATCAAATCGAAAAAATAACACCACAAAGTATATATACATGAAAAATAAATTTACAACAGTTGTACATATACAAAATTTAGGTCGAAAATGTTTGCATGTGTTTATCGTAGACACAAAATAGCATAACTAGTGGCTATAAAGCTGGCGCTGGCATTTGATAAAACTAAAACATTACGTCTGAATTATACATACAAATATATTTAAAATGATTAAGTCTTAGCCTACTTACAGGTTGTGGCCCAACAACTGCTGTCTCTGGTTTTAAAGTTTGAACTGCTTCATGTTTTAGTAACAGTTTCTTGTTGAATCCGGCACTGAATTCGTGGAGATTCTGGAAGCTGTCTCTCGTAAAATGTGCAGCACAAAGAGCTAGATTACGATCGTCATTTTCAGGAACATAATCAAAATTCTGGAGGGAGGGGTTGATGCAAATCTATGGGTTAGTGACGTCTAAAACCCAGCTGTAGTCCCAATCGAGTCGTTTTTGTAGGCAATATACTTCCTGATTTTTAAAAGACGATATCTCTGCTTACACTGAACTTTTAGCGCTGCTACTTTGCAGATACTATTCATGCACCAACAGCAACATTACACTCTAGAAAAAATGAAAAAAGTGAAATCGCAGTCAACCCCCCCTTTAACTCTCTCAGGTTTTGTCCACTCAGCTGCAAAAATCTGCCTTTAAATTTGAAATAAATAAATACATTTGACATTTATACATTTTTATCATCATCATTTTTTATATGTGGTGTGCATACGTTTTGTTTATATATATGTGTGTGTGTATGTATATATATATATCTATATATCTATATATACAATATGTGTGTGGGTGTATATCTATATTGATGTAGGTATAGGCTATATAGTGCTTTTATTGTTTTTTTCTTTCTTTTGGAAAGGATAGCCAGAAAAAATGTGCTGTGATGCTCATTGGAAACTATCAGTTCCTTGGTTTAAGAAAGATCTTTCGTGTGTGTGTGTGTGTGTGGAGGAAAAACAATCCCAGCATCACCTTGAATGATGAAAGCATGAATCACCTCCAGCACAATGCAGCCTGTATCACGCTCCAAGGGAAAAAGATTTTACTTAACATTACACAGACCAATTTCTCTCTCTATTCTTTCTTTGATAAAGCATGTGCAATGTAGACTTGGAGTGTAGCCACTTTCTGTAGTGTATAATGACACAATAAAGTCTGTCCGCTTGGGACAATGAAAGGTGTGTGCTTTGGTAAACAGGTAGGCTAGGCGTGTGTGCGTGAAAGACCTGTTCCCCTGGGGCGTCTCTTCTTCCCTTATACCCATTATGCAGGCAGGGACACTCTGAGAAAGCAAAGGGGTTTTGAGGGAAGAGCGGACGGGCATTCTGTGACCTGTCTGAGATGAGGAAAAATGAGATGGTGTGTTGCATAAAAGAGAGCATGCATGCTGTCTTGCTTCCTGCCTTGAAAATGAGCAAAGGTAAGCCATTAAAAGGAAGGCGTGTTGTTTTAGCTGGATGGCACATGCTTTTCTCACCTTGAGTTGCCATCATTATTGTGGTCTAAAAGTCTAACTTTAAATGAGTGGTCGGTCCGACTCGGTTAAGACATTGTGTACGAAGGAAGGAAAAGAGGGAAGTTCTCTGCTAAGTGTAATAAACTTGCCAGTTGCATCATTTCTGTCTGATTTAAAAAAAAATAAAAAAAATATGACTGCTGCCCATGTATATGTCACATGTTCTCACATCTATTTGCAAAGGTCTCGGTTTGAAATGTGGTCATTTGAGGTGGCAAAGACTGCTGGGGCTTTCCTCAACGGTCACACCAGGATGAAACGGCAAATTTCGAAGTCATTTAGCTTGGCTCAGAGTCTGCATGGCACCCAGCATCAGTTTTGGTCCTTTGCCATGACTTGCATTC